AAATAATGTACAACCCAAAACAGACGGCCGAACTGACGTGACAATGACATTTGGCGCGCTAAACATGGCGGATTTTCGGCCTCATTAGACGGAGACGGAGATATTTACGTATATTCATGTTTCATTTTATGTACGCACTGAAATACTGTTATATTGTTTTCCTGCGAGTTAAAGTGCTGAGTAAGAACGAGATAGATATATGTTTATGTATGTGCCTTCAAAATGGGTGCTATTTATATAAGCAATTGTACGTATAGAACAATATGTCGTGTCCCTACTATATAGGTCTATGGACTCGACCCTAATCAGCATCTTTTGTGTCTGCGTGCAGATAAGACTTGAGTAGTGTAGTAAATGATGCGATAGAAAAAACAACAGCATAACGACAAGTTCTTATATTTGTGAGAAAAAGCAAAAAGCGGGTAGAAACGGCTGGCAAGGCTTGTTTTATTAACACTATGCCCCCTTGGTTAGCTTTGGCTGGTGGCAGGCCATGGCAGCCGACGTCACGTCCGTTACAGAAAGTTTGGGGCCAGACTTGGATGCTTAACTTAATGGTTACTAGTAAGTCTAAGAAAGTAGTCGGATAAAGTTACGCTCAAAAAGTAAGATTTTTTTAAGGCATTTTATGACGTAGTAACTAAGACCTTTAGTTCAAGTCTTATTTTAATGAAAACTTTTTTATATGAAAAATGATATTATGAAATGAAATGAGGTTGATTAATATGAATGGCATGGGATGAAATTAAATGAGATGAGACGACATCGGATGAAATATAATCTACGTGAAATGGTGGTCATTTACTGAGACTTTTTGGAGGATCCTGAGAAGTTCCGCTAGTGTTTTGTTTCATTTTCCCACATTTACTAAAACAGGTACTAATAGACCACCGCTATTGCACATTTAAACCTGAAGAAACACCAAATAGACAAAATAAAACAAATCACACAACTTCACTCCTCGCATTCCCGCCAAAAAGTCCTCAAACAGTAAGTTTTTTTTAATGATCTGGTGACATAGACCTTTAGGTCATATCTTATTTGTCAAACAGTAAGATTTTTTTTAAGGGATTTTATGACCTGGTAACTGAGACCTTTAAGTCATGTCTTATTTTAATTTATATTCATATTTTTAAGAAAAAATATATTATGGAGTGAAATGAAATGAAGATGATTAATTTGAGACATTAATCAACTGGGATGAAATTAAATGAAAAGAAATGAGATGATATGGGATGAAATATAATCTCAGTGAAATGGTGGTCATTAAATAAGATTTTTTCAGTGAACTTTTTGGAGGATCCCGAGAAGTTACGTCCAGCGGCTTTGTTTCATTTTCCCACATTTGTGCACTTTCACAGATATTAAACAGTTAATAAACCACCATCATTACAAATTTAAACCCGAAGAAACACTAAATAGACAAAATAAAACAAATCACACAACTTCACTTCTCGTGTTCCCGCCAAAAAGTACTCAAACAGTAAGACAAAAATAATTCGCACAGATTACCATTTCTTTCCGCAATTTAATTTTTGCAGCATGAAGGCTGAAATGGCCGTTATGTTGAATTTAAGAAACGCATTACTGCTTCACGTCAGAAATATAACTTTCCGACTTCATTTCTCAAGGCCTAAACAAAAAAATACTAGAAGCATATCGTTAGCAAGTCGATGATGGCAGTATGTCGCATGTCAATTTTTTATTTTAATTATAAATAATTCAATGAAATAGTTCAGAAGGCACCAATATTTATTTAAGTGAATAAAACGAAAAACAATATTTAACTTTATTAATATAATTAACTACACAACACCGTTTCATAGTTCATACTTTTCCGTTAGCTCGGCGATATCTTGCTCGCTGCACTTCTCTTCGTTCCTACAGTACTCCAATAGATTTTTTAGATCTGTAATTTCAACACAATTATTATTATTTTTTCGACTTAAGCTTGATTTTTTTTTCTACCTAAGCTTTGTGCTACAAGCTGAAATAGACTTGAGAGGCTATTTCAGCTTCACTCTAACGTGTGTAGGTTAGCTTACGGGGTTCAAACCGGAGTGTTGCTAACACTGGCCCTAGCAAGAGCAGTGCTTCGCAGAATCTACCACCGGATCGGAAACGCGACCCACTGAGAAGATCCGGCGAGAAACTCAGTGGGCTGTGTCTATGGGTTAATTCGCTCGTTGAGCCCTTCGTCACAAGCGACGGGTTCGACGGGGACGGGTTAAGTGGTTACTGGAGCCCATAGACATCTACAACGTAAATGCGCCACCCACCTTGAGTATAATAAGTTCTAAGGTCTCAAGTATAGTTACAACGGCTGCCCCGCCCTTCAAACCGAAACGCGTTATTGCTTCACGGCAGAAATAGGTAGGGCGATGGTACCTACCCGCGCAGACTCACAAGAGGTCCTACCACCAGTAATTACGCAAATTATAATTATTATATATTATTATGATGTTATTCCTTCACCGTGGAAGTCAATCGTGAACATTTGTTAAGTACGTATTTCATTAGAAAAATTGGTACCCGCCTGAGATTTGAACACCGGTGCATCGCTCAGCACGAATGCACCGGACGTCTTATCTTTTAGGCCACGACGACTTGAAATGAAAATGAAAAATGGGTATTATTGGAGACGCGGACTCACGTCGCTTGTCGGCGGCGGAGAGGAACATCGCCAGCGCCGAGAACCTCTTGACCTGGGTGAGCGCCGTGAGGTAGGCCGCGACGGTTCTGTGGCGGAAGCTGGGCGCGTGGTCGTGCAGCGCGCGGATGAGCTCCGACAGTACGTCGCTCTCCAGAGCGTTCGCGAACATCGACGGTATCCGGGACGGCTCTATGATCTGCGGCACAACACGTCATCTGATAACAGGGTTGTCAATTTTTTTTTTAAAGCCTGCCACTGAACTTTTTTGATCTTAGTCTGGCAACACGGTCTTAAGAAAAAACACTTGGGACTTTTTGGCGGGAACGCGAGAAGTGAAGCTGTGTGATTTGTTTTATTTTGACTATTTTGTGTTTCTTCAGGTTTAAATGTGTAATAACGGTGGTTTATTAACTGTTTAATATCTGTGAAAGTGCACAAAATTAAATGTGGGAAATTTAAACAAAGTCGCTGGACGTAACTTCACGGGACCTTCCAAAAAGAACACTGACAAAATCTCCGTAAATGACCACCATTTTACTGAGATTATATTTCATTCCATCCCATCCTATTTCATTTAATTTCATCCAAGTTGATTAAGGTCCCAAATTAATCATCTACGTTTCATTTCACTCCATATTATCATTATTCATAAAAATAAGAATGTAAATTAAAATATGACAGTATACAGTGACAATATACAGTAAAGGTCGTAGTTACCAGGTCATAAAATGTCTTTAAAAAAAAAAGACGACTCACACTCAAATAATAGCTTCTGACCTCGTCTTGACCTTTGAGGTACTTCCACTGGGACATGAACTGAACGCTATTGACGGGCGCCACCAGTTTCTGCACATCCTTCTCCGTGGCCACTGCCTCCGATATTAACTTCACTGACTCAGGACTAGATATGTCACCTGCACCCTTATCGTTGACTATTCCAGTTTTATTCGATTCATTGTTAACTGTTTCAGCGGGATGATTCACCTCGTTCTCTATTAAATTGAGATGAGACAATAACTTCTCTGTTGTCTTACCCAATTGTATCTCATGAATTGGAATCGTTTTAAGTTGCCTCTGAAAGAAGTTAAGTAGAATTCTTTTATAAATGGATAAATTACATATGGTGACCTTTTGTCGGATGATTCCTATTATATGGCTCAGATAATAATATATAAACATAAAATACAAAAGACAATTATGCACTCAACCCATGAACCCCAAAACTTGACCCCAAAAACCAAATATCTCTTACAAGGACACAGACCAGACATAATTCATTATTTCAATATGAGCACAGATACCAACTATTCGGCCACAAGCCTGGTCAGAAAAATAATATTTTTATATGTGTTTTTTTTTAATCTGATGAAACACACAAAAGACACGATCAAAAAGAGAGATTAAAAAGAGACAAACATATTTACATAAATATTATAGAATTTAAAGAGACAATGACACAGAATATATCAGAATTCTTTTATGTTTATTTTTATTGCTATTATGTGCAAAGGGAGTCATTACCTACAGTGTCAAGTCATATACAGTGGTATACGTATACAGAATTCATAGCATACCGACCCTTAGAGATGAAAGAAGTCAGATTGTATTTAAAGTTACATCATACAAGACTGTCCCCTTTTCCATGTCGAAAGCATAATGTCTGTACCAACCTGAGAGCTTACGATACCCCAAACCACCGGTATAGTAAAGTTATTTCTGAGATAAAGTTAGGACATTTGTTTTGTAACTAAATAAGATATTAATAAGTTCTAAAGGCAATTATTGCATGATCTAGAATCATCAGTCATGTAAATCAATTCATATAAACTAATAGTACTTGTCATAGTAGTGTAGGGTGTGGTGTCAATACATAAATTAGCCTCTGAGACTTTAACATCATCTTTCATCATTGTGATATCTATAGGGTATGATTATTCAATTTCAATAATTACTTTTTTTTTTTTTATTGCTTGTATGTGTGGACGAGCTCACAGCCCACCTGGTGTTAAGTGGTTACTGGAGCCCATAGACATCTACAACGTAAATGCGCCACACACCTTGAGATATAGTTCTAAGGTCTCAGTATAGTCACAACGGCTGCCCCACCCTTCAAACCGAAACGCATTACTGCTTCACGGCAGAAATAGGCGGGGCGNTCAACGGCATAGTGTAAGAGCATACAAATCGTCAACTCGATTTTGCCGTATTTTAGTGTGAAAAAGTAGCTGTTGTGAAAGATATCCAGCTGTCAAACGTATTATTTTTATTTGTTGTTTGTTTGAGGGAATTGTCAAGTTTTGTCGTGTGGTTTTATCTTTTTTCGTTTAAACGTTGCATTATACAATGCCAGACTATTAATAGTAATTTTGTGCATTGCTTTGACTTGAAATTAAAACAGAATAAATATTTATGAAATGACAGAAATCAGATGTTGGACTGACTGACGCCATTACTTTATTCTAGGAATAGCTCCGTTATTCCGTGCGAAAGGGCGGTATAGTAACAATTCCGGAATAGGCCCACTATTCTTAGAATTGTAGATGGTAAAACGTAAAATTGATTTACTCTCGATTAACTGATGAGTTATTCTAAGAATAAGATTTACTCTTGTTTGGTCGAATCGACCCTAAGTGCACAAAATTAAATGTGGGAAATTAAACAAAGCCGCTGGACGTAACTTCACGGGACCTTCCAAAAAGAACACTGACAAAATCTCCGTAAATGACCACCATTTTACTGAGATTATATTTCATCCCATATCATCTCATCCCATTTAATTTAATTTCATCCCAGTTGATTAATGTCCCAAATTAATCATCTACATTTCATTTCACTCCATATTATCATTTTTCATAAAAATGTAAATTAAAATAAGACTTAAGACTAAAGGTCTTAGTTATCCGGTCATAAAATCTCTTTAACAAAAAAAAGAAGACGACTCACACTCAAATAATAGCTTCTGACCTCGTCTTGACCTTTGAGGTACTTCCACTGCGACATGAACTGAACACTATTGACGGGCGCCACCAGTTTCTGCACATCCTTCTCCGTGGCCACTGCCTCCGATATTAACTTCACTGACTCAGGACTAGATATGTCACCTGCACCCTTATCGTTGACTGTTCCAGTTTTATTCGATTCATTGTTAACTGTTTCATCGGGCTGATTTACCTCGTTCTCTATTAAATTGAGATGAGACAATAGCTTCTCTGTTGTCTTACCCAATTGTATCTCGTGAATTGGAATCGTTTTAAGTTGCCTCTGAAAAAAGTTTTTAATCAATTAAGTAGAATGCTTTTATAAATGGATAAATTACATACGGTGACCTCATTCCAAGTGATTCCTATTATGTTTTGCAGATAGTAATATATATCTATACATATAAATAAAATTGGAGTGTCTGTTTGTAATATTGTATATGCGGTACATACACCAAAATAACATTTTTTACAATTTTTGTCTGTCTGTCTGTTTGTTCCGGCTAATCTCTGGAACGGCTGGGCCGATTTTGACTGGACTTTCACTGACAAGTAGCTGATGATATAAGGAGTAACTTAGGCTACTTTTTTTAGACTAGCTTCGCCTCGCGGCGTCACCCGCGATACGACAATAACCACGGGACTCGCTATTCAATAATAAAATTTAATGTTTCCGAAGCGAAGCGAGGGCGGGTCGCTAGTATAAATATAAAAAAACAAGACACCTGCACTCAACCCGTGAACCTCAAAACTTGATCCCCAATACCAAATATCTCTTACAAGGACACAGACCAGACATGATACATGATATCTACATGAGCACAGATGTCAACCACTCGAACTAGCTTAGTATGAAAAAATGTATTATTATATGTGATATTTTTATCACTTACATTTTGAAACCAGATGAAACACATAAAAGACACAATGAAAAAATGTCTCTAAGAAAAAGAAAACAAATGAATATTGAAGAAAAATCGCGTATTATGTAAATATATTTTTCCAATAATTCCCTATCGATTTGTTTGTACTTGCGCGATACACATTAAACATCACCGGTTGTTACGACTATCGGTTTTTACGACTGAATATGAGCAGTCCCTTCGATGTCGTTATAACAGATTTTGACTGTATTTTAATTTTGGAAGGTTTCACTTCTACCACGTGTGAATTGCACACATTTTGTTTTTGTTTTGTTATTTAGTTAATAAGATCTTAATAAGTTCTAGAGGTTATTATTGCATTATCATTTTGGGGTCATGTCTTTTAAATCACTTTGTGTAAGCTGTGTACTTGTGATAGTTTAGGAAGTAGTGTGAATACATTGATCCATCGTCTTTCATGATGATTGACAACATAAACATTGTGATTTCTGCAGGCTACCGTTGTTCAATTTCAATAATAACATTTTTTTTTCATAATAAAACTAAATCGAGCCAACCTTAGATCTCAAATGTGGTGGTTTCTTCACTGGCTTCAATACAGTAATTGCTTCACCCACTCCTTCCCTCCAAGTATCCACAATAGGTTCTTGCTGCTCAGTGACATCATTGGACACTTGCACGATTTTTTGTTCCGAGCACTTTGGAGATACCGGTTTGGCTTCCATCATTGGAGTAGATAACGGTGACGACTTTGATTTTGTCTGAAATATATACTTTCTTTCCAATATCTTATTAATGACTTAAAGATCAACACTTTCTCACCGTAATATAGGCTGTATTGTAAGCCTTTCGCATCATCGACAAAGAGATAATTTATACATGTATATATAATATTCACTTAATATTAATTCAAGCCAAATTAAAGCTTAATCTGCAAATCTAAGTATCATTTTACTACCTTCTACTTCATTTAAATATGGAGGTAAAACTAGTTAGCTCAGAGTAATTTCCAAACATACACAGCTTACTTAAGCTATCAAATTCAATATGTTGACTATTCGTTCAAGCTATGTAACTTTTTATTGTATGTGGTTCGACACACATTTGGCAAGTTTTTTTTTATCAGCAAAGTTGGGTAGATGATTTCTATCTATATTCCATGAAGTCGAGACCTCGACATTGTGTTTTAAGGCATAGCGTTTGCTATAGTGTCTATGGATCTGGGTAGGCCGTGAGCGCATCTGCCCATCTGAGCCAAATAAAAAAAAAACTTACCCCTTTTGTCCCCATCCTAGCTCTTATGGCGTCTAGCTGTTTCCTAGCCGCGCTGTTGTGAGGTTCAATCTGAAGTACTTGAGCGAGATCCTGGGACGCCGACCGCAGCGAGCCCAGCCTCTCCCGGGCGGTGGCTCGGCGTTGCAACGCCTTCACATACGTTGGGTCCAGGCGAAGGGCTTCAGTGCAGTCCGCTTCTGCTTGATGAAGGCTGGAAATATAAAACGGAACTAGCTTGGTACGTGTATCAAGGCGATGGTGATGTGCCTGCATCTTGGGGACTTATACCTCACTTTAGAAGGTCCTATACTTTCATCATTATTCTCCTGCCCTTCTCCCAGTCATCTGGGCTCGGCGCAACATATTTTCCCCTTCCACACTCCTCTATCATATCCATTTCTTTGCTCACTCCCCTCTTACACATATCGTCTTTCACGCAATACATTTTTTCTCATTATACTTTCGATTTCGGTATTGTCAATTAGCTGACCTGGCGATTTTTTTTCCGCCTTAGAGGCAATAAATGACCAGACTTTTGATTTTATCAAGGTCATTTTTTTATTTGGATAATTAATGTAAATTAAACAAGCAAGTATTTTATTGATTCTTTATTGGCCATGTATTTGAGTGCATGGGTTCCACTCTTTAGTGAAGCACCTTGTGATGGACGAAATTTTTCGTTTTATTATCAAGTGCAAGAACAAATAACGCAGATTTTCTTCAGACCCGTGAACATACCACAAAATTCTCTCTAGTTTATCTAATCAAACAGAGTTCACCTTTCCCCTTCTCTCTTTTTTTTTTTATTGCCCTTGTTGGCAGACGAGCATACGGCCCACCTGATGGTGAGTGGTTACCGTCGCCCATGGACTTCAGCAATGCCAGTGGGCAGAGCCAAGCCACTGCCTATCCTACTGCTAAAGGACCACTTTTCAATTTTGAAATTATCTTATATCGATACATAAATACATTCTGAAATGTTAAACTTACCTATCCTTCTTCAAGTAACAAAACCCTCGATTAGCAAAGTATATGGCATCATCTTTGACGAGTTCAATGGCTCTGTTGTAGCACGATATTGCTTCATCCCACTTCTCTTGTTTCACAAATGTGTTACCCTAGAAATAAAAACCCTCTCTGTTCAACATGAGGTAAAATCTAATAGGTACATTTTACACAAATACACAGTAAAGCATGAAAGAGGAGTGCATGCGGCAGAGATGCGAATGTTGAGATGGATGTGTGGAGTGACAAGAATGGACAAGATAAAGAATGAGTATATCAGAGGAAGTGTGAAAGTGGCTCCGGTATGCAACAAATTAAGGAGCGGACGGTTAGCGTGGTATTGACATGTGACGCGTAGAGAGAAGACGCATGTGACTAGGAGATGTATGGAAATGATATTGCAAGGTAGAGGGGGAAGAGGTCGACCGAAGAAGACATGGATGGAGGGTGTGAATGACGATATGAGAGAGAGAGGAGTGAGTGTTGAGATGACGGCTGATAGAAGAGAATGGAAGAGAAAAATTAGCTGTGCCAACCCCACCTAGTAGGATTAGGTGGGGAAAAAGAAGAAGGTACATTTTACACAAAATGAAATATAATAAAAAATTTCACTGTAACTCTCAAACTTACAAATTTATTTCTATTCTTTCGCTCAAAACATTATGGTATCTATTACATTTGGCATTTTGTCAGAGACCAGTGCAAATTTCCGATTAATTGCAAAACAGAATTTCAAGTCAATTACTTTAGGTTGAGATTTAAATTTAACAAAATAGTGGAAGAGTGTGTCAGGAGCCTCCATACATTAATTAATAATTCTGCCATTTCTGTTGCAAAGCAGTAGTAGAGGATATAAGGTTAGGATATGATATATCATTGAATTAAACCCTTGTTACTATTTAGAGTTAGAGGCTTGAGCTCAAATAATTTAAATAAACAGTATAAGTTTAAGAAAGCAAAAAATATTTTGCACTAAGTTTTAAAGTAATCAAAGCCATTTTCTTTTACACACTAGCTGAGAAGTAATGGCTGTGAAATGTAATTATAATGATGGTACAAGTTTTATTAGCACAAACACTACGATATCTTACCCTCTCCTTCTCATATTGTGCCTCTTCTCTCAATTTCTCCTGTTTCACCTGCTGACTCATCTTGCCGTCTAATGAAGCTAGACCAATGTCTGCAATCTCCACGTCTTTGCATGCTTTGTCCTGAATAAATCCAAACACACCGATGGTTAGGTTTTGGGATTTTAACAATATGGGGCACATCAATACCCATATTGAATAATTGATAAATACTAAACAATCTACAAATGTCTGTACGCAAATTTGAGTGTACTTTTGATAAGACATGCTCTTCTGTTATTAGTGTTACACTCTCATTTGCCACATAAATACGTGGTTCAGTTACAAGCAGCCAGTATTATCTGGCAACTTTAAGTATACTACGACATGCATTGGTTAACTATACCATTCGTAGTAATTTAAAATTACCATTAAACACTACAGACGGTATGTGTTTCACAAAAATGATCTTATATACATACTCACAGCATCAAATTTCTCCCATGCCTGATAATCTGATGCAGAGATTCTCTTATCTTGTTTCTTTTTGGCTACCAATGGTTTGTCCTTTTTTATTTTGCTTCGAACCGGTGGCAAATCCTAATTAATTAAAAACACATTTAAAAACATTTTACAGCATTGTTATTGTTTTTTTTTGCCGAAACTGGTGAATGAGCTAACAGCCTACCTGATTTTAGTAGTTACCAGAGTCCATAGACATCAACAACATAAATGCTACTACCCACCTTGAAACAGGAGTTCTAAATCCCAGTTCTACAGAACTATGGCTGCCCCACAGCTTCTTTCTAATCAAAATGCAATACTACTTTGTGACAGAAATAGGTAAGGTCGTAGTGTATCCACCTGTGCAAACGTACAAAGCTACCCAACCACCACTAATTTTACAAATTCTAATTTTGGCAAGTTTGGTTTTAGTTACACAATATTAATCCATCACCGTGGAAGTCATTTGTGAAAGTATGTTGATAGTAGCTTATTAATGGTAGTGTTATTTAATGGTATCGTAGTATTATTTATACCATTATTAATGGTAGTGTTATTTATTGAGGGTTAACAATTTTCGTTATGCTGATTAAAGAATATCGAACACTTAACTTTTAACACTTTTATTAATATCTTTAATATTTTGAGTGTATATGATATGCAAATAAACATTATGAGTATGAATGTAATTAATGTGATATGCACTCTTTCATTCACCTTTTAATTGCTTTACAAAGTATGTTATGTAGTTCCATTACTATTCTTTTACTGGGTGATAACATTCGATGTTGTGATGTCTATCAAATATCTTATGTTGTACAATGCCTACCCGCCTCAATTTTTTTTGTTATATCAATATATTTTCATTAAAAAGATCTTTGTAAGGCTTTCTAAGGCTTATTTTATAGTTACTTGGTCAGTTCATGTTTTATATTGCACAGAGACAGAAGCCAAGCACATGCTGTTGGCATAATCTATCATTTAATACTATATGCATACTTCAAAATTTTCATACACAGAAGAAAAACAAAATAATTTGTTCATGTTACTAAAACTAGGCAGACAAAAGTATGCATTAATAGAATAGATAATTATAATTGTTCTATATGTATATGAAGCTACCTGTTGTGGGCTCATATCAAAGTTGCAATACACTCTGAATTCACATTGAAAGGTATTTTATAGTTTCAATACAAACATTCTATAAGCATGCTTTATGTGCTAAAATTTGCAAGCGAAACTTAGAAATGAACTAAAAAATACAAAAACAAAGATATACTCTTTAGGTTATTCAACCCATACAAGTACTTTAAATTCATTCTCTGAATTGTATGAATACAGATAAATAAAGTAAAATAATACATTGAACAACTATATACGTTATCTGTATCGCGAAATAACTGTAAACCTGTTCATATTGCCCATTAATTGCTGCTTCTTTTCTCTTCATTTCGGTCTCCCAATTAAGCAGGTCACTCATGTAACTCTGTACTGTTTTCGCATTATCGCGTACTTGTTTTTGTACTTCGAATGCTTTTTCCATAATCTGACGCCAGTTTATTATTATTGAATACCNAACAACTATATACGTTATCTGTATCGCGAAATAACTGTAAACCTGTTCATATTGCCCATTAATTGCTGCTTCTTTTCTCTTCATTTCGGTCTCCCAATTAAGCAGGTCACTCATGTAACTCTGTACTGTTTTCGCATTATCGCGTACTTGTTTTTGTACTTCGAATGCTTTTTCCATAATCTGACGCCAGTTTATTATTATTGAATACCTTATTTTAATCCTTGTTTGATCGATAAAAGTTTCGAGATTCCTATACCCTCGCGAACAAACACTTGAGAAACGTCAGATTCCAAACAAATTTGATTGTCATGGCAATTTTGGGGTGGCAGTGGATAAAATAAAAAAAGTACTAAAAAGTTCGGATTACACTTCTTTTTGATTAAAAATGCTTTCTTGTTGCATAATTAGTGTACAAATATCATTGTTATTGTTTGCACTCTTTTTTATTATATATTTTTTTATTATCTTATTTTTTTCTCTAATAGTTATAATAGAGGTTGACACAATAAAAAAAACAATATGTTTACGATGTAAGATTTTTAGAAAGTAAGAAATTTATAAATCTGAGGAAGGTTTAATAAGTATGAAGTACTGATATTATGCTTTGTTATGGGCCCGTAATGACTTACCTACGCGAGTGTGGTGTTCGATCACGCGGCTCGCACTCACATAGACACCCTCCAATCCCTACAATCCCGCTTTTGCAGGTTAGCCGTCGGAGCTCCGTGGTTTTTGAGGAACGTTGACCTACACGACGACCTGGGCCTCGAATCCATCTGACAACACATGAAGTCAGCGTCGGAACGTTACTTCGATAAGGCTATGCGTCATGATAATTGCCTTACCGCTTACCTTGCCGCTGACTGCTCCTCGAATCCTGATCACGCAGGAGTCAGTCACCATCCACGCCCTAGACCCGTCCTTACGGATCCATCAGATCCAATAACTCTTGCATTAGCTTTAACACTAGGAGCAGGTATAGGGACCCTGGTAACCGTCTAACTCAGCAAAGAGTTCGATATGCAATCTTAGCTAAACATCAGCCCGCTGAGTTTCTCGCTGGATCTTCTCTGGGTATCGTAATTCTGATCTGGTGGTAGATTCGTTCGCGAAGCTACTCTTCAGTTGTTAGGTCTCCTTTGGAGGCGCTCGGGTAGCTATCAGCAAATCTCACCCCTTCTGGTTGAGCCCTTGCTCGCCCACCTGTCCTGTTGAAATTGGAAAGGCTTCGGAGCCGCCAGTAATCCCTCAATCATAAAAAAAAAACTATTAGGTAGAAGTGATTTTATTAGATTATAAAGTGCAAAGCATACCAAACTTACATAATGTTGAAGTTATTTAGTAGCTTTTCATATTTTTCAACTTTTTTTTGTAAATTTAGAAACTCTTAGGTACAGTAAACGAAAACGAAACAATATTTGTACATAGCTTTTAAAAATACGCTTCACTGTGCTACGATCATAATATATGTATTTATGACTATTTATGATATGGATGTAAATCGGTACCGTGGTAGGTAGCTGTCGTAAAATACAATATAGGTAATTTTGACTGATGCCCGAATCTCGCTAGTAACGAAATTTTTAAAATTAATTTCTATATTTACGACTTCCGAACCATAAATTTGGGCCGTATCTTCTGAGCGATTTTACGCGCACGATAGAATATGTATCTTCCCTTTGTCGTTATCCTCAAAGTACTTTAACTGTACTAGTAATCAAAACCATTCAAATTAATTAACGTAAAAATTGCTTTACCTCATAATGTTTACTATCTTTAGTCGAAGGTCCTTCACTGCTGAACAGAGGCTTCTCAAGGCCTCTCAGAAATAGTTGCTATCCTGCTCATGTTTATCATTATTAATTTTTTATTGAATAGATGGGTGGACGTGCTCACAGCCCACCTGGTGGCCCGCCGCACATCTATAACGTAAATGCGCCACCCACCTTAAGATATATTATAATAAGTTCTAAGGTCTCAGTATAGTCACAACGGCTGCCCCACCCTTCAAACCGAAACGCATTACTGCTTCACGGCAGAAATAAGCGGGGTGGTGCCTACCTACCTGTGCGGACTCACAAGAGGACCTACCATCAGTAATTAAGCAAATTATAATTTTGCGGGTTTGACTTTTATTACACGATGTTATTACTTCAACTGCTGGAAGTCAATCGTCGATATTTGTTACGTACGTATTTCATCAGAAAAATTGGTGCCCGCTTGCGGGACTCAAACACCGGTGCATCGCAAGACACGAATGCACCGGACGTCTTATCCTTTGGGCCACGACGACTAATTAATCAAACCCTACCATATTTTAAACAAAGATTTTATAAATTCTACAAGTTTTTCCGCGGTTAACCTCGAACTCGCGACCGCTAAACACTACGTAACCATTTGTATAAACATAATTTTATAAACGACCCCTTTACATCAAACTAACGAAGTAAATTAATAAATCGCACTCCAATATTATAGCCTAGGTAACTATTGAAGAAGACAACGCGAAATTTCCTGTCATCGTCATGGCGACTTATAAATACACACAACTTTTACTGGTGGTAGGACCTCTTGTGAGTCCGCGCGGGTAGGTACCACCACCCTGCCTATTTCTGCCGTGAAGCAGTAATGCGTTTCGGTTTGAAGGGTGAGGGCAGCCGTTGTAACTATACTCGAGACCTTAGAACTTATATCACAGAGTGGGTGGCGCATTTACGTTGTAGATGTCTATGGGCTCCAGTAACTATTTAACATCAGGTGGGCTGTGAGCTCTTTCACCCATCTAAGCAATAAAAAATAAATAAATAAAACACAAAGATCTCAAAATCAAATCTCAATAAAATAGAAATACAGCCCATCTTACGCAGCAAAGAATAAAGCTTACTGTTCGCGCCGACGTTTAGACATATTTCATAGATATAAAACCTCTTTGCCATTGCACTAAGGCACGCACGAACGTCACAATAAAACAGTCAATCAAAAAATCAGAGTTTAATTTTACATAAATTAAATTCCAAATGTCCATACGAGACATAATTTGGCGACCGTGACAGGACTACTACTTCCAATTCAAAAAACCAAACCAAAAAACGCGCATCTTCAAACACGAGACACTTACTGTTACACAAATTAACTTCAAAATCTGTGTAAGTGTTAAAAATGAAATAGCGAACAAACAAAAGACGTTACAATAAAATTATCGTAGATAGTCTGGGTGTTACGTAATTAAAAATTGACCTCGTGTTGATGTGATGTNGTGACAGGACTACTACTTCCAATTCAAAAAACCAAACCAAAAAACGCGCATCTTCAAACACGAGACACTTACTGTTACACAAATTAACTTCAAAATCTGTGTAAGTGTTAAAAATGAAATAGCGAACAAACAAAAGACGTTACAATAAAATTATCGTAGATAGTCTGGGTGTTACGTAATTAAAAATTGACCTCGTGTTGATGTGATGTGTATTGATGTATCAATCAAATGTAAGCTGATTATAATCATCACGATTTTATTATTACAACATTATGTTTCTTATTTTCGCTCTGACAGACCCGCAAGGAGGTTCCAACAATTTAAAAAATGTCTAGCCTAGATCTCGATAAAAGAAATTCGCTAAGCAGTGCATTGGCATTGTCAATATCTGTCAGTGGCGATAACTAATCATAACGACATGAGCTGTATGCACGTCAGTCATTTCAGTTCTGTTGGAACGATGATCATATGATTGCTATTTTGAAACAGCAATAGGATGTTTTATATTACACTAGCAACCCGCCCTCGCTTCGCTTCGGAAACATTAAAACACACATGAAACCAAAAAAAATAAATAAAAAAAAATAAAAAAAAGTAGCCTATGTTCATCAGGGACAATGTCGGCTTCTAATGGAAAAAGAATTTTTCAAATCGGTCCAGTAGTTTCGGAGCCTATTCGAAACAAACAAACAAACAAATCTTAGTATAGATTATTAGTTATTAGCGATTTACCACAAATCATGTACTTCTACCGACACAATCAAATGAATAAGTATTATATACATATTTTCATTTATTTACTAGCTGTACCCGCCCGCTTCGCTGGCCATTTAAAATTAACATTATTATTTCTCATCCCCACAAAGATTCTCATCATTAACGCCTCCGCAATTGGTGTAAGAAGTCCAACACTCATATAAATCCTATTATTTCCATCAAGCCTATCCAATAGGTACCTACTTGTATTTTCTACATGGATACCAAGTTTCAAATCAATCGGATGTATGGTTCAGTAGTTATAACGGAACATCCGTAAAAACCACTGTAGATTTATATAATAAGCATAGATTTAAATTTATAAACTGCTAGTTTCGGTTTTATTACACTATGCTATTTATTTACTTCTTTGTTCAATCGTTCGTGAACACGTAAAATATCCCTGAGTAGTCGGTAGCAGCTTTTAGAATTTGACCGCATGTTTGTTTGGTATGAGTATACCGAGCGTCTTGACCTAGAAGTTACGACGACTATTACAAGGATCTCATTATTTGGGCGGTTTTTCTTTCACAAACAATCTTCTTACGTCCTCTTTCTTCCTGTGAGTATTTTCATCACTTGTACAAATAGGGCTTATTACGTGAAAGACGATATGTGTAAAAGTGGAGTGAGCCAAGAAATGGTATATGATAGAGGGGTATGGAAGGAGAAAACATGTTGCGTCGACCCCAGGTGACTGGGAGAAGGGCAGGATAATGATGATAATGATGATGTATATAAATAACAAGGCAGCTAGAAGATGATCGAGTTTTGCTCGGTTTTGTTGTTGTTGATAAATTGTGTTTTTTAGAAATTATATTTAAATACGAATTATATATTGATATTATATTATATTATTTGTTATTTTCTTTCAATAATTTTTTTTTTTTATGTTTAAGTTGATTATCGATAAAGTTGATTATTGAAAACACGAATAAAACAACATTTTCTGAAAATAAATCGTAGATAGATCGATGTATCGCCCCCAAAATCCACTTTATACTAAATTTTATTAAAATCGTTGGAGCCGTTTCCGAGATTCAGATTATATATATATTTATATACAAAAATTGCTCGTTTAAAGGTATAAGATAAGATATGATGATATATTTAACAAAGCCCTTAAGACTCTTTATAGTCTTTAAAAGCCGTTGCAGGCTTTTCGTGGAAGAGGAAATGCCACGACCGGAACTTATGGCAGGATTTGGGGGAGGCCTAAGCAAAAGTAAAACAATCTTAGCCAATGTCAAACGCAAAGAAAAAAAAAATGAATAGTATGTACATAAATATGAATTAAGGTTGTTAATAAAGGCTTCTATATCTTTATCTTTATAGTCTTTAATTCTGCAGATTTTTGTTAATCTGAAACGTGTTATTGCTCGTTCGCTTGATTCAGGAACGCGAAGTAAGAATACGAAGAGCGCAGAATCTGGGAATGTAAAAAAGATTCTGATGTTAAAAAAGAGATTATCCCGAACCGTAGGCAGCAGCTTGGCTCTGCCCCTGGCATTGCTGAAGTCCATGGGCGACGGTAACCACTCACCATCAGGTGTGCCGTATGCTCGTCTGCTTACAAGGGCAATAAAAAAAAAGAACTTTGAACAGTGACAATTCGTATCTGGACATGTACTCATACATTCCTTCTAGGTCCGTTGAATGGTCGGATGTACCTCGTCCTAGTAGACGCGTACTCCAAGTGGCTTGAGGTGTAGGTACGAGATGGCTTCCACATCTACTAGTGCGGTCATTGAAAGAATCTATGAGTACATGTCCAGATACGGATTGCCTCATACGGTAGTTACGGATACCGGTACTAATTTTTGGTCTCAGGAGTTTCTTAGTTTTTGTACACTAAACGGTATATCTCACATGACTTCGCCGGCATACCATCCGGCAAGCAACGGACAAGTCAAAGCTTATGTGAAAATTGTAAAAAAAGGAATCAAAACTTGTTTGTTGAGTAGTACAAATGCTTTTTTTTATTTTTTTTTATTGCTTATATGGGTGGACGTACTCACAGCCCACCTGATGTTAAGTGGTTACTGGAGTCCATAGACATCTACAACGTAAATGCGCCACCCACCTTGAGATATAAGTTCTAAGGTCTCAGTATAGTTACAACGGCTGCCCCACCCTTCAAACCGAAACGCATTACTGCTTCACGGCAGAAATAGGCGGGGCTCTGGTACCTACCCGTGCGGACTCACAACAGGTCCTACCACCAGTAATTATGCAAATTATAATTTTGCGGGTTTCATTTTTATTACACGATGTTATTCCTTCACCATGGAAGTCAATCGTGAACATTTGTTAAGTACGTATTTCATTAGAAAAATTGGTACCCGCCTGCGGAATTCGAACATCGGTGCATCGCTAGACCCGAATGCACCGGACGTCTTAACCTTTAGGCCACAACGAATTCTAAATGTTAAGGAAAACAAAATGTTATGCTTAAAATAAATGTTAGTATGTCACTGGCCGTCTTAAGTTATGACTTGTTCCCATACGCGCTAACACAGCAGTAACTAAAAACAGCCAAGTGGACAATGTGTACCGTGTGGTTTTCTAGTAATACAAATCATTTCAACATACCGACACAAACATAGCTCTAGATAACGGTATATAGCTTCCGGCTCTGAAGGTGAGTGATTTAGCCATGCACTCCATAGCGATACATAGATTCCTTTTGAATTTCATATCTTGATCATACCAGGGAGTCAGATATAGTTTGTCTCGCAATTGTTCACTCTGTGAGAAAGAGAAATTGGTGTAGTCTACCATTGCTACTGAGGATAGCGTTCGGTAATTACCCCGGTAATCTTTCTCGTTGAACCCGTCGCTTACGACGAAAGGCTCGACGAGTAAATTAACCCTCAGACACAGCCCACTGAGTTTCGTGCCGGATCTTCTCAGTGGGTCGCGTTTCCGATCCGGTGGTAGATTCTGCGAAGCACTGCTTTTGCTAGGGTTAGTGTTGGTTACATCGTCAGGTTTGAGCCTCGTGAGCTCACCCACTAGTTAAGGTTACGCTGAAATAGCCTCCCAAGGCTCTCGGCTTAGGTAGGAAAAAAAGAAAGGTAATTACTTATTCGACTGTTCAACTGAAACATGCGACTGCTTCGCACCAGAAATAGGATGATAGTAACACAACATTCAAAATAAACAGAAATTTTGAACTGAGCTTAGCTAGAATCAGCACATAATGAAATAAATTACGAAGATGAGAAGTGACAAAATATGTTAGAAAAATAAGAAGAAAAAAGGTAAGGTAATTACTGGTGGTAGGACCTCTTGTGAGTCCGCACGGGTAGGTACCACCCTGTCTATTTCTGCCGTGAAGGAGTAATGCGTTTCGGTTTGAAGGGCGGGGCAGCCGTTGTAACTACACTAAGACCTTAAAACTTATGTCTCAAGGTGGGTGGCGCATTTACGTTGTAGATGTCTATGGGCGCCAGTAACCACTTAATACCAGGTGGGCTGTGAGATCGTCCACCCATATAAGCAATAAAAAAAATCTGAATTGAAACTGTCGAGGATTTAAAAACACTAGTACATAGGTGTTTTTATCAGTTCAGACAAAGAAAAATAGTTAAGCTCTAGACGGAATATAGTAAAATATCGAAGTGTCTACCTTCACACACTAAAGCCTTGTTCGGACTAGGCGAGTATTTTAGTTAACTATACATTGCGTGTATTTTGAACTACGGTTTCGGCGGCTAATGAAAAATTTTCGACCGAACTGAGGCTTTTACTCCGTAAACTTGCGACTTAGAGTATGCATATGTGGAAACGATTCAAGTTTCTCTCGATTATATTTTGTTCTGTGATAACTTCCACCGTAAATACTTACTTTGGTTGTTAACTCATTAGCGCACCAACAGTAAAGGTATAGTTGGCCCAAAATGATAACTAAATAGCTGAGAGCTGCCCAGAACTGTGCGCTTACTGGTGACTCCTGTTCATGAAATAAACGTTGCTATTGAATGAATGAATGAATGATTTATTTTATTTCAGACAACAACAAGTCTTAAAGAAACATACTTAAAATTAACAGATAAAAAAGATACATTTATTAAAAATAATTATCAGTTGAATAAATTTCAAATATTCCATTCAACTGATACTTACTTCGAACCAACCATTATTATTATTATTATTTAGTCCGCAAGTGAACCATGGTACAACAATAATAATAATACTAACAAAATAAGGTGATATGACACGAATTTGAGTATTTGTTCTTAAGTTTTTACTGGTGGTAGGACCTCATGCGAGTCCGCGCGGGTAGGTACCAACACCCTGCCTATTTCTGCCGTGAAGCAGTAATGTGTTTCGGTTTGAAGGGTGGGGCAGCCGTTGTAACTATACTTGAGACCTTAGAACTTATATCTCAAGATGGGTGGCGCATTTACGTCGTAGATGTCTATGGGCTGAAGTAACCACTTAATACCAGGTGGGCTGTGAGCTCGTCCACCCATCTAAGGAATAAAAATTAAAAAAGCTTTCATAATTTGTTGTAGCATGATTGATACTTCGATTTCCCGTCCAGAAAGCTGTACAGTCACGTCATGGTACCTTAGGGCTGCGGCACCCAGCAAAAGCTCCGTGAACTCAATTGTGAATTGTCCCCAGGGACGTCTTAAGCTAGGATGGGGCCCTTGGGCACACAAGAATTTGAGGCCCTTTTGGAAAGTAAAAAAAGCGAATTATAATAACATTTTTTTACTGAGTATGACCATTTATTATAGGTAATCAAATACAGTATGGTATAATATGTCATTAATGATATTAAATGCTGCTGGTTTTTTGGTTACGATTTCGATAACGGTTTCTTTCGGGATTTCTGTTGAGCTAAATCTTCTATTATAGGCATAGTATATGCCTTGTACATACTTTCTGATTACTGATTTGTGAAAAAAGTGTAATGTGCCCGACAAAAATGTGTTGAGAATAAACGTGTGAGAGAAATTGTCGGTCTTTCGGGGCCCCCTGAGAATGGGGGCCCTGGGCACGGGTCCCTTATGGTAAAGACGGTATTGATTGTCCCTCGCTTACAATTACAATTATTTTTTATCAAAACTCACCCCGGCCATCCGAAATCCTATGACACAAATCATGAACACAATACCGCCTAGATGAAAAAACGAATGTACTTGAAAAGTACCTTCGCATAATTCTGAAAATCTGGAAATAAAAGTAGCAGGGTCATTAACTAAATCTAATCACAAATAATACTTACTTATGATGAGTTACACTAGTCAGGGTCCACAAATCACTAATGCGATGAGTCTTAAAGAGTTTGTATGAAAGGATTCTAAAACTTACGTTAATGCGCTAACCTTAACTTTCATTGAGGTGTATTTTATCTAAGAAACTAAGTTTACCGTTCAAAGTATCTTAAATAGTACTAAATAAGTGTATTTACGAATATAATGTTGTCTCTGACAATGGGTCTTGGCAGAAGGCTCAAAGTCACTTAAAGAGTAATGGAGAGGGCTATTCTCAGTTTCTCTGCGAAGTCGACTCAGCCACGAGAAGATTCGCAGAAGAACGAAGGTAACTGACTTAGCCCGAAGGATTCCAAGATTGAAATAGCAGTACGCAAGGCACATTGCTTATAGAGAACCGTAAGCCGCTGGGGTCGAAAAGTTCTCCAATGGTGACCGCGTGCCCGAAAGCGTAGCGTGCTTAGGCCCCCACGAGGTGGATCGAAGACTTGCTAAAAGTCGCAGGAACCTGCTAGTTGCATGATGCACAAGACTGGTTATTGTGGTGAACCTTGGGGGAGCCCTTTGTTCAACACTGGACGTGCGTGGGCTGTTAAAAAAGCCATTTAAAGCACCGCACCTTACTATAGCTTGGTGGTGCTTGATACAGTCAACAAGAATCCCATTATTCTTTTCATGAAGTTCTGATCTGTTTCTTGATGATAAGTCTGGTGATAAGGGTATTTCTTGTATCTGAAAATAGAGGGAGGGGGATTACGTTTTGACGTCACTCTTTAAAATCAGAGAGACACAAAGTAGGCCATTCGTTATCCATCATAGCAATGGTACCAATAGCGTCGCTTACCTGCTGTGTTTTTTTCATAATAATGTCGAGTTGAGCACAAGAGAACATCATCGTAGCCACCGTTATTGTGTCTACAGACATGAATAAAGCGGCTGATATGACCATCATCCAGAGCTCAACAACAAAAGTTATCTCATAGTTTGGGGATTTGCTTATATCAGTCGGTACCCTGGCAGGAAAAATGGAATAGTTCCTTAACATGATTGCTACTAGTTTTTCATTTTATTGCTTTCAGTTTGTAAATACATAATACGGTTATTTAAACCCAAAAGAAACTTTATTTTAGTGCCTATTAGTTTAAAATAGCTAGCGATAATTTTAACTAGTCCAGATACTCTCTAGAGTTTGACTTCACAAGATTAATTTTTATATTTAGTGATTCGAATCTAAATGCCATAGTATAAAAGAATGATGATAATTTGAAAACATCAAGCTAAATTGCAGAAGAACATTGACAATAGTGTGTAGGATGAAATAGATCATACTCCCACTATTTCTCAGTATAGAAGATGTCCCAAGATGTCAAATATCAAGGGCACATACAAAAGTGCCTCTCAGTATTCGACATAACATATTGTAAAGATTCATATCACTGCAAATGTCTATAGTAAAATCAATATACAGACCGGATGGATGGCGTAATGATGGAAACAATCCCATTAACGAAAATTATGTAAAGCGCAAAGACATTCAAGCGAAATCACTTTGTTTTTACAGCAATAATGAACGGGTCACTGGTATTTGTGGCTTTTTGTAACTTTTAATCAAGCCGGAAAGTACATTTGATCCAAGTGGCCTATGATGAAACATACTGGCTTTGAAAGGTTATACATACGGAACGTAAATAGAGCATCTCTGAAACCGGTATTTTAATATGTACAGTTAACCTAATGTGATGGGAAAACAATTTAGTTTTGAATTTAATAAAAATTTGTAAATTCAACGGCACCAAGCCGAAATATTCTTTCTACAAAACAGTTCAAGATACATTAGCAAAATTACCTTTTTGGAGCATACTTATTTAGTTATGTCGTGGTCAAAAAGTCAAATCTGCAATCAGTTGTCGTTTTCCGAGAAAGGTTTTCTGAGCAAGCCCGCACGGGTTGATATCGCCTCCATGCCTATTCCGACAGATGCTATTCAATAACATTGAGGCTTCGACCTAGTATCTCGAGGAGAATGATGGTAATTACTACGCGAAGGGTTCCGATAACGCCATACCACCAGATTGACTGTGAACTCATCTACCCCTCTAGTGCAAAAAAACTTTTAGGTACTCATATATTCCATGGCCTTACCACATTTCATTGAAGGGTAGCGTTCTTTCACTACCGATCAGCGATAACACTGTCCACTGCACAAGAGTAAAGCCCGTGAAACCCAATACACCTTTATATAGCTTATTTACTGTCCTCGAGTGGCTAAAGATGGTGCTGAAAAGATTACAAAATTATTTTTCTTGTCCGTAATCCTAATTTTATTTTGGTGGTGGTCTTTATTACAGTGCCTCACTTGTCCATCTAACCCGTTCCTTATGGGAAGCCTTGAATTGATTGATTAGAAATAATAAGTGGAGGGTTTGGTTCAAATCAAAGTGAGGAGTTGTCAATGAAAAAAAAAAGCTCCCAAGCTATTGATATTAACCTCAGTATTCCCTCGGGTTAACTACATTCATGTTTCAAAGTATTTTCGTTTTTTGGGTGCTATAGCTCTTGCTTATATAATAGTTACAGTGGTAGGATTGAGTGGGAAGCAAATACGATACGATTGCAAAATAAGTCCAATTTTATTTTAATTTTTTTATTGCTTAGATGTGTGGACGAGCTCACAGCCCACCTGATGTTAAGTGGTTACTGGAGCCCATAGACATCTATCACGTAAATGCGCCACCCACCTTGAGATACATATATAATAAGTTCTAAGGTCTCAGTATACTTACAACGGCTGCCCCACCCTTCAAACCGAAACGCATTATTGCTTCACGGCAGAAATAGGCAGGGTGGTGGTTCCTACCCGTGCGGACTCACAAGAGGTCCTACCACCATTAAATTATCAATAATCATTACGATTATAAAAATTTCTTGATTCTCTTAGCAGCCGGCAACGCCAAAGCGAATTTCGGAAATACAACTGTTTTGGCAAATTTTCATACATGAAACTAATTAAAAACCTACGCTTGATCTTCGATGGACATGGCCGTGAATAGTACGTCGTCCATGGAAGCGACGATTCGTTTTATCTTCAGGAAGTTAAAGTAGAAACCAATTGCTTTACTGCAGCACGTTGATTGGGTGAAGAACATGTACAGAGCGTCGGATACCGCTTTCAGGTCTCCCCACATTAAACCGATGTAGATGCCTGGAAATAAGTGCATCTAATCTTCGTAAGGAAATGTTGGCAAAAACAAGTGGACTATTATATTATTTTAAAATATTTTATTTTTTATTGAACAGACACATCGGTAACAAATCGGTCTTAATTTGGGTATGTGTTTACGAAACTGCATAATTATTATGGTGTGTTATGTTGGTACCACAAAGTAATTTGGATACTGGCGACCTATTACTGGGCCATACCACAGAGAAATTACATAAACAACTGATAGCAAGGCCAAGTCGTCGTGGCCTAAAGGATAAGGCGTCCGGTGCATCCGTATCTAGCGATGCACCGGTGTTCGAATCCCGCTGGCAAGTATCAATTTTTCTAATGAAATTCGTACTTGGCAAATGTTCACGATTGATTTCCACGGTGAAGGAATACATCGTGTAATAAAAATCAAACCCGCAAAATTATAATTTGCGTAGATATCTATGGGTTCCAATAAACAATTAACACCAGGTGGGCTGTGAGCTAGTTCACCCATCAAAGCAATAAAAAAAAAATTGCAGATTCTCCTTGTCACCCATAATTATGAACGCAAGGTTCTGTGCCAAACTGTCAACTAATGTTGCTTTAATTAAATTCCCAACTCACCATTGAACACGAGGAAACAAAATTGAGATGATAACATTATCGATCTATAAATTACGCTGAAGAGTGACGTTTTTTCAACTGGCCAGACCCCGCATAATGTCAGGACTTTTGACGGTACGAAGAGGAAACTCTTAGCGTTGGTTCTCATTGTCATAAAACCGTCAAAAGGACCGATATTCGATCCTGTCAGACTTAATTCAGAATATTTTACTGCACAAGCAAAAACATNGTCGACCGACCTCTCCGGAAGCCATATTGGTTGGACGCGAGATCCGGCCCAATGTTCTCCAGGTGCTGAACAAGACGCCCGGCAACCACACGCTCAAGGAGCTTACCGGCCTCGTCCAACACTACTATCGGGCGATACCCGGAGGGCTCGTCTCTAGGGCGACCGTCCTTCGGGATAAGCACCAGCCGGCCCGTGCGCCACGGCTCCGGACTCTTTGGTAGCCTAAGGGGCTATTCCAACTTCGTGCGGATCGGTAGATGAGCTCATGGGCTCAACCTGAGAGAGCCGTTAACACTAGCCCTAGTAAAAGCAGTACTTCGCTGAATCTACTACCGGATCGGAATCGCGATCTACTGAGAAGATCCGGCGAGTAACTCAGTGGGTTGTGTCTATGGGCGTATACCACCAAGAAGCAACACCACTTTGAACATTGCCTTTATTTCCGTTACATAATGTACCAAAATCAAATTTGTAGAGAGGTTCAAACTGCCGAAGAAGCTTCATGAACTTAACTCCTGTTCTTTGAGTATCAGGATAAATTATCCTTGAAAATGTCTTTATCTACGTGGCTACGTGATATAAAAGACTTCTTTGTAAATGTACTTAAAGTTAGATATCTAATCAATTTTAGTATAGTTCTTAATGTGCACGTATTACATAAATGAACATAAACGGAATTAAAATAAAGTTAAGTTTACGTTACGTTAATTAAATTTCATTATAATATTATACTCATTTAATTAAAGTACTTACTGCTTTCACTTCATCATCAGTTCAAACGGCCGTCTGGTGTAGTGGTAAGTGACATGGTCACTACACAGGGGGTCGCGGGTTCGAATCCCGCCAAGGAAAGATATTTGTATGATAAATATAAAAATGTCTTTTCCCGGGTTATGGATGTATATTAAATATATGTATGTGTATAATAAAAATCTTACATTTATTTCCGTTATCTGGTACCTGTAACACAAGTTCTTTACGAACTTATCACGGGACCAGTTAACGTGGCGTGATTGTTAGTAAATATTTATTTATTTATTTATTTATTATTAGTTCTTCGTTGTGGGATCCCACAACCTAACACATTTAAGTATTCTTATTTTTAGAGATTTTTATTATTAAATAGTATTTTTTTGACACGCAACATACAAATTAACAAATATTCTAAAACGCCCTTTAAATTTAATTGCATTGTAAAACTGATTGAAATTCAGCAAGCACTTTGTTAATAACATTATAACTGTCACGAATTAAAACTTTTATTTTTAATCACATAGTACTACTAAGCGATGCGGCCATTAAAAGTGCGAAGAACAATTACTGTTTTCGTGAGTGGAAAACTTTAATTATTATGTACATAGCAGCCCTGGTTCACTGGGTTGCAGATAATTCCATTCCAATTTCCATTACATAAAAAAATCGAAGGTGCTGTAAATTTTATATTTTCTTAGATTTTCGCGAGTTATAGGCACAAAAGTTGTAAAATAAAACTACTTTTATTTATAAAATTATTTACAATTTTTGTGTTTTTTTTTGCTTAGATGGGTGGACGAGCTCACAGCCCACCTGGTGTTAAGCGGTTACTGGAGCCCATAGACATCCACAACGTAAATGCGCCACCCACCTTGAGATATAAGTTCTAAGGTCTCACGTATAGTTACAACGGCTGCCCCACCCTTCAAACCGAAACGCATTACTGCTTCACGCCAGAAATAGGCAGGGTGATGGTACCCACCCGCGCGGACTCACAAAAGGTCCTACCACCAGTAATTACGCAAATTATAATTTTGCGGGTTTCATTTTTATTACACGATGTTATTCCTTCAACGTGGAAGTCAATCGTGAACATTTGTTGAGTACGTATTTCATTGGAAAAATTGGTACCCCCGCCTGGGATTCGAACACCGGTGCATCGCTCAACACGAATGCACCGGACGTCTTATCCTTTAGGCCTTCTCCTTAAAGAGGCACGGGTAGCCGATTATTGTCTTCTGGTTCCACCGGGTAATCAAATACCATCTCCTGACTTCAAAAAACTGTTCGTTTCGTGGTGGTATATAATTGTATTGTAGTAGATATATATTTATATAGATAGTTTTTTAACTTCTCGTTCGTGTAAAAGTTAACTCAAATTTGTATGGAGTTGGAACAGCGCCCCTAGCGGCAAACTTAGGGAAGCTAAAAATAAAAAAAGCTCGCACTAAGCAGACTGGTCTGGTACCAGTGCGATGGTAAAAACGAAATGACGGGGGTCATTAAAGAGCTCAGGCCACTTCTATGAACTTCAGTAAGCATTTCACACCGATTGCAAATTCATGTGAAAATCTAGCCTAAAGCTGCCCACTATTATTGCAAAGCAGTAATGTTTTCCTGCTAGACAAATGACATGCCATCTTTAGTTATTTTTTTGAACAACTAGTTCTTTTCTTTTGAACCGGGACAGCTCGTTCTAAAAACTCACTAAAGCCACCTTTAGAGTGTTTGCATCTTGCGATCACAAAGAACTAATTGAGCAAAACCAAATCAAAACCGCTCAGTCAATCGAAGGTCAGATCAGAAGTTCTGAACAGCAATCCCTCATTTTGATTGGTTCCGGACAGTGGGAGGATCTGATTATGAATAATTACTGTTTATATTATCATCTATCATCATTCTGTGTTGTAAATTTAGCTGTGATTAATGGTTTTCTTTATTGTAATTAGTGTAAACATTACGGATTGGAAGAGACCCTGAATAGTGACCTTTATGACACGTTTGATGCAAATGAAGTATCTCTCACATGTTTCGTATCTCGTGATATCTATGAGCTGTTCGGGGGAAAATTATTTTGCGATATTCCAATGACCTTATGGATGCCTAGTTCTACCGTGGGTTAGGGATTTTGTGAGGACCTCAAAATTAGTAACAACCTGGGCTTGTGGCGAAACAGCCATGTGTCCAAATTGAAGGATAAGATAGCCGTTGTGCATTACGATTGAGATTTCAACCTCATGCCTGAAACTGAATGACAGCTTGAGGTTGCTCAAAAACCAGTGCCATAAAAAGCGTGCATCATCCACATTGTAACAACTGGTATACCTCCATTATTTTTATTTTAGCACGTCTAATTGGAAATACTCATACACATTTATAATTACGACCATCTAAAGTTCATGAACAATGTGTTAATTACTCAAAACAAAAGATGACTGCTGATGTTATATAAGTATGCTGTGTTTGGTGTAGTAATAATTTAGTCCAAATATTTGAAGGCTTTGTGATTGGACACGATATAGTTCAGGCGTATTATCATATTGATCTTGGGGCAGGTAATATGTTTTTTTGTTACATCAATTTTTTTTTGTGTGTTAGTGGAACATGGAGTGGTAACCTAATGGTATCATGAATATGCTATCACACCTTTTAAAATAAGTGTTTTGTGGTAGTACCTAGTAGTACCTTTGGGCCATGGGAAATGGTATCACCGAAATAACGAAAACTATATACCTAAAAAGTCGCAAAACTTCAAAGAGCGTACTTAAATAATCAATAAATAGATAATTGGCGGGACAAATCGCTAACTGTCGGCAATAACATTTCAAAGAATGGGATAGCTAGTCCGTTGAATAAAATTTTCTTTTTTGTTTCATTGCCTACGGACCGCAGGAGCCACGTAATTAATCAAATCATCGACGTTTAACGCCACAATTCAAGATTACCACACTATGATGGATCTGAATCGGACGTGTAAACTACGCGTAGTAAGGAGATGTTGACTTTAAGCTTTGTCAGTGGGTCATGGCGCTAGCTAAACGTTTTCAGCCTCAATTTAAATGTTCTTCTAATACAGTTTTTGGACTCGAATAAGACTAAACCTTAAGTCGTAGACATTTCGTCTCTTTTATGTACATATATAGCCTTAGCAGTACCTATGCGCAACCCCTTAGCATCAGTTGGGTCGTGAACTGGTTCACATAAAAAAAACCGCTGGTTCTCATCTAGTGAACTATTACGAATAAATAGAAAACCGTCTGCACAGACTACAGGCAACCCGGTAACGATTGCCGAATCCTCCTTCATGTGATACAGATTGTGGAAACCTCAACAACCCAACCACGTCATGATTCAATCAATTGGACACACGCTTGGGTTAAAAGTGAAAGAAACTTAGTATGACTTGACTCGTAACTGCCATCCCAACACCCCAAACGGGAAAAACACCATATGACAACAAGCAATCCGATCGATCCAAACCGATCCAATCCGTCTCCAATCCTTGACCGCATGGGGCACAATCCCAAACGACATCTTCTTTCTGTCACGATCAGATTTTAACTTCGTTAGCGATTTATCGGGAGCATCAAACAGACGTTGCTTTAGACCGAAATCGCGTCACGGATTCACATAATTACCTTAATTGGTGAACGGTTTCAACAACAAACTGGATTTTAAATTGCCAAATGGCTTTTTGCAAATCAGGGAATCCTTAGAGTATTAATTCTGAAATTCTAATTCTAATTTTTTTGATTTGATTTGATTAAGGGTAGGTGTGCTCGTTCTAAATGAGGGTCTCTCTTACCTCTTTTGATTTCCGCCTTACATCTTATTGTATGGACCTTTCAGATGAAAAACAATAGGATTGTAAAATCGACTCAACTATTTCATATAGAGTAATAATGGTCCGTAATTGCTTAAACTACAGAATCAAAAATACTTGAAATCTCACTGGATCTCGAAAGTTGTCTGGCGCTCTGTGTGCTAAATGCGAGTTTTTTAACTTCACGATCGTGTAAAAGTTAACTTTGTATGGAGTTGGAACAGCGAGGGACGTTTGCCGCTAGGGACAAAGCAGTCATAGGTTTTAAATATAACAATATCCCAACAGAAGACAGTAATTGAATCGAACCAAAAGCCTATTGACATGCTCATGAGTCACCATTAATATCTCCAGCTCTAAATTATGATTAAAAACCATTTTATGA